TGCTTGCGTTGTGTATGTGTATGCAATGGAATTCAGACATTGGCTAGCCCAAATAGAAAGAGGGGCCGACCAGTAGGTGGTGAGAAGGTAGTGCATACATAACAAACCACACGTACTTCAAACAGATCGGCGGCGAAACGAGCGAAAATTACGATTTAAATAGGGATAATGTTATTTATTTCAAAAAGGATAAGTTAGTGAGCAGAGTCAAGAAATAAATGTTCAGGAACAGAACAATGAGCCACTTCAAACTGAGAGAGTCTCCCGATTGAGGTCTGTACTCGATATTTGGAAGGGGTTTGGCTGGACAAATGACACGAAGGGTAATCTACCATCAGTAACAGTACGGGAAAGAAACACCAATGTAAAGGAAAGCAACCCGGTTGGTTGGAGATGTATGACGAAAAGCATTGAGTGGAGCTGTTGCATTATGCGAAATAATATATCCTGAAAATCCTAATGCACTTCTGAAGGAAGCAGCTAGCGCCATTAGCGAGCTTGTGAACACGGCAAAAAAACCCCAACGATGCACAGTTTGTTCATGACAAATCTAACACAAACCTAGCCAATACTGTAATTAATGTTTTTAATGCTGCTCCTAAAGGTAGTATACAAAAGTGTATTGCGCGAGCAATGATGGTTGAGGGAATGTCGATCAAAGCACGAAAGGATATGAAGGCGGCGGGTTAATTTACTTTATCTGGGGCTAGAGTGCAACAGTCATACGCTGATACGAAAACTTTCATTCGAGGCGAAGCAATCGTGAAATCTGTGTTTAGTCGTTCGAGATTTGACGAAGTAGCGCTGAACAATGCGATCTCCTTCGTTCTAGCTGAGGAGGTTGTTGGCACTTCCTCGTAGGGTAAGAAAAGAGTTAAATTATCGGAAGATAAAACTTTTATTCTTCCTTCACTTACTCGTAAACTGCCATCGATTGTAATATATGACCGATACTCTTGTTACGCATCTGATAGAGAAACGGCTATCCCGTGACAGTTTCTACAGTGTCCTAGCAGCTTTGACAAGTAACGATGAGAAACTATTAACTGCCGTCGATTACGTATCTGACACTCTAATCAACGACATTATTGTACAACTACAAGTAATAACCAACGACTTCTGTATCAGTGTTACAGAGAAGAAACACCTCACTACACATCTCGCGTTGATGAAAACATTTGCGAAACAACAATATGATAAGCATGTTGAATTGAAGGATGAGTGCAGCACCCATGGAATAAATTTGCATTAGAACAGCCTACTATTGAGAGAAGTGACTGTGGTCAACAAAGCGTAATGGATGTGATTTCACTGAATACATGTATTCTCATCTTTAGATCATTGTACAGTTTGCTACAAAAAAACTCTAGAAGATGCATTGTTCGTCATCACGTGTGTTTCGAGAAACTGCGTATATACATGGGCCGCCGTGTTCGTGTCAAAAATCAACAAAATGCGATAAATGACATACTGAAGGGGATGGAAGAATGGTGTGTTCGAAATAAAGGAAGCTCGGAATCGCTCACTACGATCGACTGGAAAATGAAGTGGGAAGCCACGTCCACTCGTGAAACGGACAAGAGCACTTCGGGAAAAGAATGTATGTATGGTACAATACTTTGTATACAAAGAATGGGTTGAAATCGACACAAGTACAGGTATGTGTTTACTCGTTTCGGATACGCTTAATAGACGACGTATATAATCACTCATTCACTTTATTTATCGATATATTTATATCTTAAACCAACCACACATACAAAACCATGCGCAGTGCGTCATATTGTTTATGGCGATCAAATACTGGAGAAAGGGGGTAAACAAGACTGGTATGCTGAAGTGGGCGTGGTAGAAACTTACTTGCGACAGCTGAAGAAGGAAGTCCTGACTATAGAGACTACGGTGCTTTCCTCGGATAATACGGGATGCTACCAATCTAAGGAGCTTCTTCTTTTGTTGCCGCTGTTGAGTTTAATTCTAAATGTACAGGTCGTGCGGTACATTCATACCGAAACGCAGGACGGCAAAGGGGTACGTAAAGATACATTAACTATTCTTTAGGAATCATGCTGTCTATATACATTTGATTTGATATTTTGCACGGTCCATACTCATCTGTGTTCTTCAACAAATATATCAAATACGCACATATTGTCTCACTTCGCAAGGGGAACATCCCTTTGTATGAGCTTCATGAGGGCGTCACAACTAAATCTGATAAAGGAAATAACTATACCGAAAAGCCTCAGCGCTGCACTTGCCTGGAACAAGGATATCAAGAACTCATTCGTACAACTCACCAGGATTAACAGGGACCTAGAAGAAGTTTACCAGGAGAAGGTTAATAGGTTGGTTACACAGTGTAAGAAGTATTTTGGACGTGTGAACGATATCATTTATACAAATGCAGAGTGTTTGCAATCCGTTAACGACCGATATGATCTGGCGAAAGTGCTTGATAGTGGTGCCGTGATAACGTTTAAAGTGTTTACATACTCCAACATAGGTAATGGGGTGGAATTCACGGTGAACTTTGCAACGAACAAAATAACAATAGCGCAAGCTATTCGAGCAACACCACCATCCACAATTTGAACGTTAATAATACTAAGACTAGCGAGGAGATGCAACTTGACCAGTCCGATAACCACGACCCCGAGCATGTAGATGATGTTGCACAAGATGAGGATGCTCCAGACGATGAAGCAGATTTTATTATCGTTACTATTAGCAGAGTATATATATATATATATATATATA